ATTAGCTAAGGGTTCCAGTATCCTAATAATATTGCCCTCCATTCTCAGGGTCAATCCAAGCCTGTAAATCTCCTCCACACACAGTCTCATTTGCGCCATAACAATACAGAGCCCGGACACTGTAAAAATATGTGTTCAATTGTTTCCCTAATTTTTCTTTTTGGAAAGGCGTGTGCACAAGAGTTACACCACGACAATGTCACTCCCTTCTGTTCTAATGTGCAGTGATCTATTAACCAGTCATTCGTTGGTAGACATTGTGCACTATCTGCTATTGTAAGGAAGCAAACTTGGCAGGCCTTTCTCTAAGTCCCTGGCACCACCTGACTGGTTTAAGCTCTTCTTCGTAAATATTCAGGTGTCTTTGCCATCTATTTTGAACCATTTCTGGGACGTTAACTTTAAGGCGCAATAGTCTATAAGTTGCTTTAACTGATAAGGATTGCAACCTCATATGTTTGCATCTTTTGTTTGAGCTCCATCGCCAGTCCGCAGGATCCAAGGGGAGGTCCTGGATAGGACATTGAGGGAGGTACACTAACCATTGTGTGGTTTTTACGACATACAATACTCTCACTCTATACATTTCTTCAAAGGTGACAAAAATCACTAGTCCTGATCCATTTGAGCAATCTTATTGTCCTTGTGAATTTTGAATATATTGACAAGGGCACCATCCTCATGTACATCCAATATTTGCCCTATTGACTTTGAGTTATCCTGTTGCTTGACCCCCACGCAATCCTCAATCCGAAAAATAGGGCCATTTTTCAAGGAAGTTATCCAGGATAGGGGTATAGCAGAGAGGATTTCATCCAACTTGTCTAATAGTCTGTGTACGTACTTAATCTCTTTCCTGAGTTTTTCCACAGTTTTCCAATTCTTATGCTCAGTGTCCCATAGATTCTTGATCCTTATGATTCCATTTTTTACCCATGTAGACCATGGAGAGTCTGAACTAATAAATACCCTCCCGTTCTGGTCCGTGATCCATCGATTGCCAAACAAGGGTTGCCGTAGGATTTCCTTGTATCTTTCCGGTATTGACTTGCTAGGTAAAGGTAATTCCCACCAGTATTTTAGTTGGTTCGACCAGAACCCATCAAGACTTAGGTCTTTCCTTACTTCCCTTCTTGCCCCTGATTCCATCGACTATATCTGGGCTCGAGGGATGAACCAAAACCTATCTTCCACCCAAGTCAAAGGGTGAACCTCCTTAATCGTCTGAGGTGCCAATCTTCGGATCTGTTCTAACGCCAGATCTTGCCATGACAGATCCGTGACCAGAATTAAATGTTTCAATACTTGTAGTGCTAAGGCCTTGCATTGGATTTTTGGGTCAATAAGTCCCAACCCACCTTTGTCTTTGGGTTGAATTAATGTCTGCCATGCCACTTTTGGGATCACATGTGGTGATTCGTGATCCTCTCGCCATAAAAAAACCATCACTTGTCTCTGTAACTCCTTTGTAACATTTTTACTGAGTGACCATAGCATAGCTCTGTACCATATTGAGGCAAGCACCACGTTGTTAATTATTAATGCCCTACCAAATATCGATGTATGTTTATTCCACCACAACTTCATTTTTTCTAATGCTGGCGACAAAATCCATAAATCGTTTGAATTAGGTTATCCCCTTGAGAATGTATCCACCATCCTTGCGTTTTGTTACCCCAATTTATTAGCACATCTGAGAAAGTCAAAAATTTGTCAATTAAAGCCTTGATTTCCTCCATATTGGTCATAGAGGCCTCCATCATAATAGTTAAATCATCTGCGAACATCGAATAGATAGGAATTGCTTATTCTGGGATGTTAGTGATCCGAAGGCGTTGAAGATTGCGATTTGCCCTCACGTTGGCCCCTAGAGCCTCCATAATGATAACAAATAGGAATGGGGCCAACAGATCGCCTTGTCTGACTGACCTTTGGAGAGGAATCTCAAGGGATAATAGGCCATTAACCTGAATTCTCGTCGTGGTGTTAAGGTGAAGTAATTGCACCCATCATCTTATTGCTGACACGAATTCTAGCTTAGCTAGGCAAGCGTCCAAGAAACGCCAATCGACATGATCGTATGCTTTTTCAAAATCTATGAAGACGAAAGCCATGTTTTGCTTATTTTGCCTAGATAGCCTGATCATCTCATTGATTAACAACACATTGTCTTGTATATTTCTCCCATGAATAAAGCCTGTTTGGGAGGGATGAATAATTTCTGTCATTATATGAATAAACCTATTAGCAATGACTTTTGCTAACATTTTATAAACCATTGTCAACAAAGTGATTGACCTATAATTCCTTATGTTGTTTTTTTCACCCTTTTTATATAATAACGTTCGGACCCCTTGCCCAACGATTTCCCCCATAGTACCAGCTATCTGAATCTGATTATAGTATTCCATCAGATCCTCTGACATTGAGTCCCACATGACTTCCCAAAATTTCTCTGGGAAACCAGCCACCCCAAGGGTTTTGTCTTCCTCCATCTGCAGGAGAGTCGTCCAGATTTCATCTTTGGTAATTGGCTCTTCCATTTTTACTTTTTTCTCCGGGGATAATTTTTGTGTTAGTGGTAGAAGAAATTATTGAGTTTCTTGAGAAACTGTTCCTGAATGCACTGAAGACGTGTGAAGTTTTTGAAAGAAGTCATAGGCTACCTTTAGACTGCTAGCCGATGAAACCGGCTCCAGATGAGGTGACATAGCTGGATCTATTAAAACTTCTATGTTTGTCCTTCTGACTCTATCCTGTGCTAATGAAAAGAAGGAGGAATCCATTTGTCCTACTGACTGATGTTTTGATAATTTGCTCCTAACAAGGTAGCCTTTCCAACGTTCTTGTGCGATGGTGAGTAATTGCCTCCTAAGATCCTGAATATCCTCCAATTGAGGAGGTGATGTGAGATTTGCCTGTTGTTCATAAGATAATATTTTCTTCTGAATTTCCATTTCCTGATCATGCTTTTGTTTAGCGATGAATTTCGAGAATTCATTAGTTTTTTTGGCTAAGAAATAAAGTTCATTATTAAACCATGATATATATGAATCGTGTTTGTCCTTCGTGGTGTGCCAAAACTCTCATACCTCTTTTATATAGATTCTAAAGTTTGTCCTTTTCAGGAGGGAAGAATTAAGCTTATAAAAGCCCGTCCCATGGTCCGACTTTTTCCTAAAGGTGAGAAGAATGAGGCACATTTGGTGATCAGCTCCCGACCATGGGCTTTGTGGAAAAATGTTAGCTCCTACTAATGCATGATCTAGATCTTCTGACATAAGTATCAAGTCTATTCTAGATCTGGACTGGTGGGGAGAACCTGCATTTCTGATGCATGTAAAAATACATTCTTGGGGAAAAACCCTTCGATACGTATCATATAAAAACCCTTCGATACGTATCATATAAATTTTCGGCTTCATATAACTGTTGAATGATCATTTCGACATCCTCTATATAAGCAGTATATGGCGAAGGGATCTTTCATCTGTCTAACCATTTATCTGGGGCTGCATTAAAATTTCCTGCCATTATGATGGGGATCCCATTTGGGATATGATTGCGAAGTTCTTGAAAAAATTGTTTCCTTTCCTGTAAATCGTTGGGAGCGTATATATTTAGAATACACACTATTTCCACTTCCAACATTAATATTGCTGAGATCCATCTTCCGTTTTCTTGGTCAGCCACCCAATGAATGACATCTGCTCTTGAATCTGGCGGTATCCAGATGGCAACTCCTGCTGAACCATTACTCGTCGCATATGCTTGATACTTTTGATGCGGCCATACCAAATTATGAGCCCTATTGTGAGTGGGGGAATTCATTAGGTGGGTTTCCTGAATACAAATCGCATCCGGCCACGATCTCCCCCCTACCCCTTTTAGTTGTTTTGTGATTGCTCTTCGTTTAATTGCATTTGCAGTAGCCAGACCATTAACATTGAGTGACCTTAGGTCTAGATCTGCTGATTGGGTGGCACGTAACCAGAACGGATTTTTTCCATAACCCTGAAGTGCATCCATCCCTTCTAAAGCAAGCGATTAACTATTAATGATACAATCTCACACATCCCGCTCCATCTAGTTCTGTAGGAGTGGTAAGAAACCCATGTCGTAGAACAGAACAAAGGAAGGAGGAGATTTTCGCTACTGACCATACAACATTTACTTTTATCTTGAGTTGTTGTAATTCCAACAAAGCCACATGAGAGGACCATTTAAGCCCTGATCCTTTGTTCTCCTCGAATCTCACGAAGATGTCCCTTTTGGCCATCTTGGCTTGTTCCCCACTCATTGTGAGGGTTGCTTGAGGTCCATGATCAAAATGTTTTGACAGAAAATCATGCATATCTCTTTTAAAAGTCCTATCCCCTGTGCTTTGGTACTCAACGTGAGTCATCCATCCTCTTAATGTCACCCCCCCGTATTGATCCTGGCCTATAGGGGAGAGACCTATTTCCCATTTGGCCCCTTTCTTTCTAACTGGAATCACCAGATTACCCTTGGGGGACTATATATCGGTTAGATGACCCTTTTCTAATACATGTCTCAACTTTTTTCTCTTACCCATATCGTCTTTCCTCATTGATATTGACGGTCGACTCTTGTCTTCCTTCAATTCTTCCTTTTGAAGGGTGGAAGACGAACTTGGGGACATTGTCTTATCTCCTTCGTTCTCCTCCTTCCTTCTTCTACCTCCTCCTCCTTTTGATTCTTTTGCGAAGAATCACACTGATCATCCTCTTTTACCTCTTCTATTATTATACCATTTTGTCCCTCTTCTGTTCTTTCTGTACTTGGGACTTCCAATTGTTCTAATTCCTTAACATTTTCTTCCTCTTGTATTGGCTTCATTCCCTTTCTAGATTGCTCCCTATCCTTAGGAGGTTGAAACCTTTCTGCCACTATTCCCAAGATTTTTTGGCTAACTACTAACCAGCACACTCCTTCAGGTAAGCCTTGCTTTAGCGCTAGAGTGAGACTGGGGCTAGAACTTAGTAAGTTAAAAAGCTGGACGTATGAGTTGTCCCAAAATTCAAGTGTTCTCTCCCCGCATCTGGCTTTCAAGGATTTAATTAGCCATTCTGCTAGTTGTTTCATTTTATCCTCCTCTGAAAGTTTTAGATCCAACTGAGCAGTTCCTTCCTCCATTTCTAAATCTTCTGTTATTGCTGAGGAGTCCACCTTCATCGACGCTGGACCAAAAGCTTCTTGGAACGGATTGTCTTCTAATTCTGTTATTTTCTTCTTTGCCTCTATGTGTTCTTTGGTTGGAGGATCCTTCTCCTTATCCTGTGCTTGAATTATGTTCATCTGTTATGTCACCATTTCCTCCTTATTAACCGATGATTGTGAACTGTCCAAGGGGTATGTATCCTTATTTGTGATTTGTTTTCTCTTCCTTTTTTTCCTTGTTTCCCCTTCCTGACTTTCATTGGCTGATTCCTCTTGAGTACTTATGATGAGGGCTCATTGATCCTCTTTCTAACCTTTTTCTTTTGGATCAGATTCCTCACTTGCTTCCTTACCTAGCATAAAAAAGGAGCCTCCCTCTTGTTGCGTGATATAATCGGATGGTTGAGGTCTTGGTAGTGTATTCCTCTTTTCGGTGACTCTCTTCCCTCCCTTAAGAACTGGCCTTCGCTGTTGTTGGAGTGAATTTCCTTTCCTTTTACCTTGTTCCCCTGTCCCTCCCCTGTTCTCCTGATGTGGATATGATTGGATTTCTTCCTTGTCTACTGACTCTTGAGAACTACCAAAGCAAGAAGGTATTGTGGTTTGGTAAGCTTTTGGCCTTTTACCTGTATCTATTTTACTAAAAGAAGCCTCAGGGGGTGTCCATGTGTCTTGAGGTTTAGTTTCCCAATTTGGTTCCTCCTGACGTTCCCAAGACCACCCTTGGGTGGGCTCTCCTTTCTTAGTACCCTCAATATACATCCATCCCTCATGTCCTGCATCAACTGTACGCCAAAGATTAGGCTTAAAAGGGTCCCGGATGAGTCTGCCTGTGGTTTTATTTTTCTTTGTCGGGTTTTATGCACACGAAGGATTCGTACTCAGGTGACCATAGGCTTTACCCGACAAAGAAAAATAAAACCACAGGTGACCATAGGGGAGGTTTTCTTTGTCGGGTTCATGCCTGTGCCGTATGAATATGATATTCCCTCCCTCCCACTCTGTATGGTATGACATCGTGTATATTAAATGGAAAAATAGTTGAGTGATTGAGGGTCAACATCAAGTAATCATCCCTTTTGGCCGCATAAGCTGGGAGGGGTTCTATGAAATCAATAATATCATAATTACTTCCGAAATGATGAATGAAGGCTGCCTGAATTTCAATTGGAATGTGTCTGAATTCTACCCAGTAGTGATCCTCCATCATTTGTTTCCTCCTTTCATCAGGTCCTTGCTTTGGAGGAGACCATGGATAAATTTTGACTTCTGATCTTTCACATCTTAATTTACGCCAGCCTTCGATTGTTTTTTTATCTGAGTTGTGTAGACACAGAATTGTGAAAATAACTGACGAAATTGGAAGAATTAAAAAATCTTGACACAGTGCTTCGTAGCTTCCTTTGTATGCTGCCAACCTCTTACAAATCCATTTGATCTTATCATTAGTTGATTTGTAAGCTGAGTCATCGTGAAAGACCCAATTGTTTGCATGTGTCGAGTAGATTAAATCCCTTTCATCCAATTTGTGTGTCGGATAAGTTTTAATTAGTGATTTTTCCCCTCCTAAATCAATTACCCGATTCTCAGAAGAGAGAATGAATTTGGAGAGAAAAAAAGCCTTTGCTGTTGTGAGATTGCGCAGGGGTATCTTTAATGGTTGTGATTGCTCCCCCTGCCTTTTGATTTCTAACTCCTAAATTAGGAGGTTCCCTTTCACACACTGCACCCAAGGGGAAGAACCATCATTCTGGTACACCTTTTCGTGGATTGGAGATAACCTCCCCTGGTTTTGAAATTGTTCTTGAGAAGCAGTGTTGGGAATGAACTCAATCTCTTTCTCCTCCCGGTTCGCCTCCTGCATCTCTTCTAACCCCCTCTTGCCTTCTTCCCCCTTGCCCCCGCCCTCCTCCCCTTTCGTCCTCTTTTCTATTCCTTCCTCTCCTCCTTGCTTTCCTCCTCCATCTCCTGCTCCTCCCTTTTCTCTTCTCAATTCTTGTATTCTACCCCACGAGGAGCCTGCTTGAAATACCATGTTTCCTCTGCTACCTCTCGGGAATTGAGTTGATATTGACAACCTTTGCCATCTGTAATTCAGAGCTACTCCATTACCTTGTGCAAACACATGTTCCCCTATTTGTTGTGTGGCACCTGACAATGATTGAACTTCCAATATCTCTTTTTCCCCCATATCATATTGATTGAAAAGGGGATTGATGATCACTTCTCCCTGATGTTCGTTCTGATCCTGATTTGTGTAGGACTGTTTCATGTCCTATACCACATTTTCTTTGTGACCCTTCTGTTCCTTTTGTTCTTCCGTCGTGAGGATTTTTCCTTCCCCCATTTGTACTTTTGTTGAATTTTCCTTGCCCTCTTTTCCTTGTTTCTGTCTTGCCGCCAGCACTGTCCTAACCGGCGTATGCAGTTGCCTTGCTGCTATTTGTCGCATAGCTCCTCTAAACAACAATGTCGATTCTTTTAACTGGTGACTTCTCTGGTGGTGTACTATACGCGGCATTCTGACGTGATTATGATATCTTCTGACACTTCAACCAACCCAAACAACCAACCCAAACAACCAACGCAAACAACCAACCCAAACAACCAACCCCTCCTCCTACCACCAGCAATCCAATCAACCTGCCCTCCAACCAGCGCTCCCCCCCCCCCCCCTTACTGTCCAACTCAACCTGCCTTCCAGACAACCAACCACTCCCCAGTTTCCCACCTACCTGCCATCTAAGCCTCCCAACTAGTTTCCCACCTACCTGCCACCTAAGCCTCCCAACTATTATCTAATTATTGTTGATTATGTATATATTTCTTTTATTTTCTCGTTAGTTTTGATACAAAGGCGAAACGGGTTTGGCAGAGAGAAGTTGCGAGAGAAGGGGATAACAGAAACAATCTTTCCCAGATTCTATCGGTTGTTGACACCTGTTTGCTCCTTCCTCACTCCTCTCTCTCCTCCTTGCTTATGTGCTCTTCCTATCTCCTTCTTCCTGCCTCCTTATATCTTCTCTTTCCAACCCTTATACAAACAAAATCGAAAATGCTGGCAAAGCTCCCCCTAATCTCAGCTAATTGTGAATCCGAATGGGGAGGAGGTAGAAGGCCGATTGTCTTGTGACGATTAGCCGCCCCCCTTGATGTAATTAGCTTCCAAACATGTCACCCGTACTCAGTAATCGCATATCATTAATTGCAAATGATCCAAACTCTTGATCGTCATGCTACGTAGAATGCGTAGCCACTGTCCACCCTGGTGGCGATCCGTTCCCCCCCCTTTACTCCGATGTAAACCAATATAACATACCCATTCATAATGCCACATTTACTCACAAGTCGCTTATGTAGCACCTCATTTGCTGCAATCGATACAATCGGTAGGCAATGTACGTTACCTAGCCGATGTCCACGTCGTGCATTCCTACCCTGCTTATCGTACGTGTACACACTAGATCACATTCACCAACCAAGGCATTCGCTCGTACGTCGTCTGGCAAATCTAGGCATCCTCTCTTAGACTGATCATCAAAGCATGACTTCAAAGACTTCGAATACTATTCTGTTTCATTGGCAATTACAATCGGAGCTGAATGCATCTGACCGTAATCACATCTAGAACTTAGTAGGAGAAAGCTCGACATGAGTATGTCCACTCGATTGTGCCATTCATGGTGTTTTGTTGGCAATTACAATCGGAGCTGAATGCATCTGACCGTAATCACATCCATAACTCAGTAGGAGAAAGCCCAACATGAGTATGTCCACACGATCTTGCCATTCATGGCGATCCGTTTCCCCCCCTTTATGCCGAAGTAAACCAATATAACAAGCCACATTTACTCACGAGTCGCGTATATAGCACATCGTTTGCTGCACTAGATTCAATCGAAGGCAATGTAGGTTACCGCCCAGGTAACGACCCTTTTCCCTCTCGATATAAAGCATTGATCGCACCCGTCTGCGCGCTCTATACCTGTGTCCCCTCTGTTCACTTCTGACCCTTCCCCTCCTTTACGCCGATATAAACCAATATAGCATGCCACATTTACTCACGAGACGCATATGTAGCACATCCTTCATTGCACTAGATTCAATCGGTAGGCAATGTAGGATACGGAGCCGCTGCCCGCCCAGGTGACTACCCGTTTCCCAATCGATATAAGGCATCGATCGCACCCGTCTGCTCTCTCTATACCCGTCTCCCCTCTGTTCACTTCTGGCCGTTCCGATCGTTCCCACATACTTGACGTGGCAATCTTCCGCAGTCGCTGCGTTCAGCCAGAGAGCCTATTGAGGCAATCCTACTGAATCCTCCCTTACCACTTCCTTTCCACTTCCCTTCGTTCTTTCCGTTCCACTCCACCTTCGTTCTACCACCGCCCGGGCACCAGCGGTCCGCGTCGTGTATTCCTACTCTGCTAATCTTACGTGTACACAATGGAGCATTTGAATATCACAAACGTGTACACTCGGTCCCGATCCCTTGTAATTCCACTGAGAGTATTACGATCACCCACTTACAAATAGCATATTCATATCAGTAGTTTTGTGGAAAGCCGGAAGAGAGTAGCACGCCTCTTCACCCTTTTGCGTATCACAAACACGTGTTCACTCGCTCCCGATCCCTTTTAATTTTACGATCACCCGCTTTCGAATAACATATTCATCTTTAAGTGACACCATAAGAATGTGGAAGATGACCGATGTTCCTTCCTCAAAGAACATTACCAGCCCAGGTTATTCCGAAAACATTGTGATAGCATTCCCCTCATAAGTCTGGGCTCGTTCACATGCTCAAACATTCACACTCTCACACTCGCGGAAAACGAAGACTTACCTTGTTAGTAGAGGAATTGTACCCGCATACCTCGTTTCTATATTCTTTGCTGTAGCTCTGTGCACTTCACCCCTGCCCCTCTATTTCGCTGCGCCATCCCAGTTGTAATCACAGGCCGAGTAGCATCGCTCTCCCCTGTTCACTCCTGGCCCCTCCCTCGTCCTCAACATCGAAGGAGGTGTTGCTTCCGATCCCACATACCTGACGTGGCAATCCTCCGCATATGCCGCATTCAGCCAGAGCCCCTCCCGTCTATGGAAGCAACCCTACTGAATCCTCCCGTGTCACTCCTCCATCCTAACTCCACCATCGGGGCACAAGCGGTCCGTGTCATGTGTTCCTACCTTACTAAGCACGCGTCTTCACGCTGGATCACATTGACCAGCCGAGGCGCGCGAAAGGCACGAGCGCATTCTCACTAGCGCTTGTCGCGCCGCAGCCCGGGATCCTGCCCCGATTTTGCGGGCGGTGATGGATTTGTTCTTCGTAAATCTTTTCTTTGATCTGGTTCTTCGTCAGGCTGATAAACAATCTTCAGTGTATCCTTGAACCTCCTCTCAAAGGTTTTCTCATGTCAATTCCAAGAAAACCACTGTCCCTTGTCTCATGCAATGAACTCAGTTCAGATCTGCACAGTCAAAATCAGGGTCGTAACTTCTGGTCAAAGTCAAGATTCAGAGGTAAAAAGTCGCGTCCCCAGTCCAAGAGTGGTCTCAGAAAGGTCCTATGGTCAAGGGGTATGAGGCCCTGTGTCAAAAGCTGTGTCCTGTACCCCTATGTGAGACAGTTGACTCATGGAAATTCAAGAGTCAGACCCATTTTGGGCAAAGCAGGCCTAGAGTCAAAGTCTTCCCAGAAGTCAACCACGGCGTAGATCACATGCACATCAAAGTATGTCTGCAGGTTTCCAGAAAACTCCAGTACCAACTGCGACACGACTCCTTTGGGTAAGCAGTGCATCAAGGCCATCGGCGAAGTCAAGGGGAGGCTGGTCAATGCTGGTCAACACTATATGAAGACTGCCAGGCCCTGGGTGAAGTCATTCTGCCTCGCGCTTTCCAGCGGCCAAAGTGCTGCTCACGAGGCTGAGGTGATGAGAGGCTGGTTCCAGACAGAGGGGAAGAACGCCAACCGGGGAAGCCATGGTGTTGGGCGGAGGCCATAGCCAGGAAGAGGCTGCCACGACAGCTGCTAGGAAGTGACTCAGCGAGGAAGAGGGCGATCAGGTCTGCGAGATTGTGAGAGACTGGCATGTGGAGAGAGAGCATGAAGGAAGCTTACTTGAACTTACCTGGGCGCCGATGATATAGAAGATGCTGCTAGTCTTCAAGAGGTTGAAGAAGGTCAGCTCCAACCTCCATAGCTGGGTCTGTGGTTGGAGAGGTTGGGCGCCATTGCTGGGACCTGCACAGAGACTTCGTCAACGACTTTCAGAGAGCGACATGCATTACTGAGGTGGCATGTTGGAGGGGAGATGCCTGATGGAGAAGTGGGATTAGAAGAGCCGACATACCTGTACTATTGAATGTTAATGAAACTCTTCTCTCTCTCCCTTCTCTCTACCGCTCCTCTCCTTTGTCCATTTCTGATTACACACTGCTTCTATGATGTGCAACTGATCGGGTTTGGACTTGTACACGTTTTGGGGGGTCTACATTTTGAGCGCTTGAATTATACTTGCATGACAATGCTGATTGAGCTTCTTGATGAGACTGTGGGCTCATTACACCCATCTTGGGCATATTTTTTTACTTCTTTCTTTCTTTCTTTCTTTTCGTTTCTTTTCTTTTTTGGTTTTTGGGCATCCACCTACTGGGAACAATTAGGAGTGATGATATGAGCAAGCACTCCTACTTGCCCTACCGGAGACTCCAATCTATTGGTGGGGAGTGGCACCTGCTGGAAATCAGGTCCAGCGTCCCATTGAATACAAATTGTAAATTGAGCATATGAAATACCAACAGAAATTAGGCGAGGAAATACCTCTTTGGCCAAAAGACACCAACCAGATTTAGCCCTGCAAGCAAGCTTCCCTTCCCCGAAAAACATGAAAAAATACAACTTACTACTTGTTTTGATTTGCTTTAGTGAAAGGGGTTTTGATGTTCTTTTTAACTTCTTTGAAGTTCTTTCACTTCTTGAACTTTTCCCATTTGTTTTCTCGCTTTTCTATTTTGCTCTCTTCTTCTTGGTTTGTTGGTTTGCCTTGCATCCTGCTGAGGAAATTAAAAGGTTGAGGATTATCTATATGTCTTCCTACCACTACTTTGTTTTGATTATCTCCCAGATATCTCACAGACTACATGGTGAGCCTTCCCTTATGTGTGATGGTAAGTAATCATTCCTTCTTTCCTCCCCCACCCTCTTCCCTCCCCCCCCCTCCCCCCCCAAAAAAAGGGATAGAATTTTTTTTTTGGTGCTTTTTTTGTTGCCTCCCTTGCCAATCATCTGTCTCTTTTACACATCTAGATGTGTATAAGAGACAGNCCCTCTCCTTACACTCCCTCAGCAGAATAGACTATAGCGAGTATTTTCAAATGGCAGAGGAGAGCATTGACCCAAAACGTCAGGCATACCAACGGGTGTAGCTCAGTTGATACATCCATGAACTGTTGAAATACAGATCCGAGTTGGAATCCAGATGCAACGTGATGAATGAAATCACCTAGGGCCCTTGGGCTGGTCAGTAGTTTGGCAATGATATCGAGGCTGTTGCTTTTTTTTCTTTTCCTTTTGGGGCAAGTACGTTTATTTCAGAGCAGAGTTTTGAATGGGCAAAAAAAACACGGGTGGGCAAAGAGAACAGTAGCCAAGTCTGAAGAGGCAATGAAAGTACCTCGGCCGTGACAGAGACAGGTATCATAACTACAGGGGTGGACCGTGGTGTCAGACGGAACGGGGGGAAAAAAACAAGGAAGGCAACGGATCTATTTCGCCTGTGCATGCACATTCTAGTCCGGCGGCTGTTTGTTTTGCCAGGACGTGTTTTTTTTTCCCATTCGAGTTTGAAACCTGCCATGTCTGCACTTCTTTCATTGTTTTCTGACAAGTTGCTGTGCTATTTTTGTCCATCGGCGATGACAGTGAACTCAGGCAGGCCCTTCAGGGTCAGGGGTCACTTTACTGTTTCTGACTAACAAGTTTCTGTGTGCTACCAATGCCCATGGCTTATGATGGCTACCGTCCCCAAGTAGAACTTACGGTTTTAGGGCAACTTTCAGATCAGAAAAAGAGTGTCACGTACATGATAGGCCCACATTCCATTGGGAAGGGACGGCAGTAGTCATCAATGCCCCAACTCAGTTTAGTGTGCTCCATGGGGCATGAACCATCAAGATGAGCTCTCTGAGCAACTAGCACACAGGCAAGTTGGCAACTTTTGTTGGTTTCTAAGAAGGGGATAGCCCCGTACCTTCTTGTACCAAGATTCAAACTCCTGATCTGTTCATCCACAGTTATATGTGTGCCCCACTCAACCATCAGGCAGGGACAGACAACTGTCTGTAGTTCGGTGGACAAAAGAGAGAAACAGAGGCCCAGAGAGAGAGAGAGAGAGAGAGAGAGAGAGAGAGAGAGAGAGAGAGAGAGAGAGAGAGAGAGAGAGAGAGAGAGAGAGAGAGAGAGAAACGGAGTTTGTTTGAGATCCATAAACTGACCCTAGAGAGAGAATATTGTGCAAAAAAAAGAAAGTTCAAAGAACGCAAATTTAACTAAATGGCTGTTCTTGCTTCCTATACTTTGCGGTCACACTCATCTTCCTCANGAGAGAGAGAGACCATTTAACGGAGTTTGTTTGAGATCCATAAACTGACCCTATTTTTTCAATATTGTGCAAAAAAAAGAAAGTTCAAAGAACGCAAATTTAACTAAATGGCTGTTCTTGCTTCCTATACTTTGCGGTCACACTCATCTTCCTCAATTCCCATGCCGCTACCCTCCTTCCGCATGATTCTCTCTCCGTTGCCTTTGTTCAACACTTTTCTGCTAGTACCCCTGAGCGCAACGCACCCTCATTATGGATGTGTCCGACCGGAAAGACAGCTACCGGTAGTATGTGTGCATAATAAGGTTGTGTTCCTTTGTTCAAAACTTTTCTGCTTGCACCATCGGCTATTGTTTTCCCCTGAGCGCAACACACCCTCATTATGGATGTGTCTGACCGGAAAGACAGCTACCGGTACTATGCGTGCATAATGAGGGCGTGTTGTGCTCGGGGGAAGACGGTAGTGTTGTCAGAGGACCTGGGTTTGGTTGCTCTGAGGTCTACAAATACCGACCTACCCCTTGAGCATAGGCCCTGGACCCTCTGTCCTCTGAGGCCACACTCCTGGCCCTTTTCTTTTCGGGGGGGTAAATCCTGCTCGGGTTACTAGACAGGGTCGTAAGAGCATCCCCCCCTAGTACCCCCTCGCCAGTGCTCCAGTCTATTGGTGGGAAGCAGCGCCTTCTGGGAACTGGGTCCAGCGTCCCATAGAACATCAATCCGATTGAAAGTTTGAACCAAGTTTTCAACTGACCTCTTTTTTTTTTTGACGAGTAACAAGACTCGGAAGAACTACTGAACAAAAACCACACATCTTGTCAGTAACCAAAATCGTTCTGGAGCCTGCAAAAGGCAGCACCTGACTATCAGGTGTCACTCAGCAGCCCTAATATAAGTCTCTGTCAACCTTCCTACCGTGTTACCAAGCCTCTTCTAGGCCTCACACCCCCAACTGCTAGGTTACGAAGGGGTGCGACCCACCTCAGAAAAGCCCCCCACCTGCTAGGTCACAGGGCCGAGCGACCACCCTGGCTCCTGCCAGCATCGTCTTGGTAACAACCCAAAAATGGCCACTGGAATGCCTTCCTCCCTCGGCAACAGGCGTCATGCCCCTGCCTTGCTCAGGTTACAGGGCAGCACAACCAAGGCCCAGCGCCAGCCAGTGTCATTCTGGCCTCGGCCAATCGCAAGCCTCTGAGTGCAAAGCCATCAGCACAACATCAGTCAAACCACGAAGCCCCACCTCAGCCACAGTTCCAGAATGCCAAAACTGGCCCAACTCAACACCCAGGACCACCCTTCAATCCTCTTACCGCACTCCGGCAAGGCTTACTGCAGTAGAGCCACCATCTCTGCCGCTGCTGTGCCCGAACCCAATCCTACCGACTAGGCCCTTCATCAGCAGGACGCATGACATCCGTCCATCCTCATACCCCACTTAGCTTCAATAGGCACTGCCCCCTATCTGCGCGACCCAAACACAGAGAGGAAAGCTGGGACAGAAACCCCCCACGAACTCAGTGCTAATGTGTTTTTGCCCAACCAGCATGACTCCATCCTTTGGAAATTATAGGCTTAAAAACGCTGGAGAACATATACACAGAAAGCAATGACAGGGAAAATGCCCTCTACTTCCACCAGAAGAGGGGAAGGGAGGGAAAGCCAACCTCTCTCCCTATGGAAGTCCAGCTTTAGCCCGTAACTCAACTGCACCTAAAAGGGTCATAGAACAACCCACCGAAGTACTCCTTCCCGCCAAAAAACAACCCCCTGTTCTTATACTGCCCCCGCCAGAAGGCACCCCCTTACCTCACCAGCCCCAGATAAGAAAGAACAGCCCTCTAAACGGTCACCTCTGCTCCCTGAACGACATACAATTCCTCCTTTTTTTTTTTCTTTTTTTTTTTTTTCTTTTTCTTTTCTTTTCAAAACAGAGCCCAGGGTGTTGTAGAGGCCAGTTACTAGGCTCACATTGATCGCCGGAAGCTGTCATCCATGATTGCCCTGAAGAGACGGGGCTACCCTCTCATCCCATTCTCACGTCAATACTCCTAGCGCATCCCCTATTCCTACTATCCTACCTCAGTGTGACCAGCACTCAGGATCATTACCCTACCATCGAGGGGAACTTGGACCGAACAGTAGTGACAGGCACCAGGGCTAGTGACCCAGCCCTGGTGGAAGCATAGTCGAACGAACCTCGTCGCACGGGAACTTCGGACGCCAGGCTCAAGCAATCACCTATTAGCCCCTAAGTAGACCGACTAGTAACTCATGCCCTCTCTTATCATTGCGACACCTATTATTAGTTGGTCGTGACCTCCTCCCAGCCCTGTGGTTTTTATGTATATGTGATGTCCGGTATTGTAGGTATGTGCCCGCAGGCTATGTGTATATGTTTTTTGTAATGTGTGTGGACCCGTAGCAGACGCTGCTCCCCACCATGGAGCATCTGCGAAGTGAATACCAGTGTGAGGTGCTCTTCTCACCTCTACCAGTGTCTGTGTAAGCCATGTGTAGGTAGTATCTATGGGAGCCCTAGAAACACCTTGCCTCAACGCAGCGGAGGGGCGACCCTATGCGCCCTTAATGTGCTGCCAACGAATAGACAGCCTTCCTCCAGAACCCGGATCATTGGCTGAGGCTCCTCCCCCCCCAAAGGACCCCATGCCTAAGTGCTCTATCCTCAGTAAAGACTGTCTCCCACCTATCAGCAGAATCCGGTCATCGGCTAGGTACTTCCTATAGGGATCAGAGGGACAGACTACAGACTCAGTAGGTGGTGGGCCATCATCCGTCCTTCCACCAGCCCCCAGCCTCATCCCTCCGATAGCCTATCGTGGTTATACCTGTAGTCAGTATCTTGGGTAGTGTCTAACATGTGTGTATGTGTGTGTGTGTATGTGAATCTCGAACCTGTGACCTCCAGTATGAAGCTGGAGGGTTCTACCATATGCATTACCACAGGAAGTGAATGGAATGTGTGGAATATGTAGACTGGGGGAGAGCATCAGAGCGACCAAAGCCAACACCAGCAAGCAACCAAGTCCAGACCAGCATACAACACCCATGGACTAGTCCCCTGGGTGGTGCGCAGGCAGTGTCTGTAATAATACCATGCGTCAGCCCAGGGGAGTATGTGTCCAGCCGTGCGTCATTCTAACGCCCTGCCGGTGTCCATGCGCGAGGCTGCGGAGTTTTGAACCCGCAACCTCATACCACAATGCGCATTTCCAACCGGTGCTCTAACCACTGAGCTACATCAACTGGACTACATACATACATATATACAATTCCTCCTGGAGTATGCCCCCGCACAGCTGAAGTTCCCCCTTCCCTCCTGTCCCGCCCCCTCCAAGTGAAACAGCTCTCTCAATGTCCCAACCCATAGACAGAGCACCCCACTACCCAAGTCGTCAATTCCGGTGGTTCTCTCACCACCACTGGGATTGAGGACTTGCAAAAGGGCTTTCAACCAAAAAAAAAAAAAAAAAAAAAAAAGAGACAGCCCTCTCAACTACTCACCCTGCTAAATCAGCACCCTCCCCAACCGCCATGACTGATCCG